TACCGAGAGAGCTTACATATAAATTTACAACACGCTTTTTTAAAAGCATGGTTTGTCAAGCAAGCCATAATACCTTCATTTAGCCACATAGCAAACTGTATTGTACTATTAAAACCAATCACATTTTGATTTGCTTGTAAATCAGGCATTTATCTCAGTAGTATTTTCCAGTTCCAATTACTGTTTTTAACGGCATCTTTTATCAATAACTTAATAGTCTTTTTTTCTCTCATATAGTTTCCTTATTTATTTTTAACATTTCTAACCTGCATTTGAGGGAAAATCTCTTTCAAGAAAAACTAATGTCTAAATCTAACAATATCAGTGCTCTTGTCTCAGATGTTAACTTTCAACTATAATATGGGCAATAGGACTGGGCAATGCATTTGAAACAGATGCTTCTCCTGCATGCTAGTCTGAATCAAGCTTTCTCTTCCAAGTGTTAAAGGAGACCTCTTTATATTTCATAGATATTCTGCATCCACAGACATTTCTTTTGGGACCATCAGCAAAACAAAATGCTTCTGTAGATGTACCTGGGAAGCTTTGCAAAGAAGAGAATTGCTTTAATGCTTTGATCAATTACCATGCAGGGTGCAGCACCTGTTTCAATTCTTTTGCTCAAGAATTACAGCTGAGAGCCTTGCAAACAAGGCAGCCTCTTTAATGCAGTGTTTCTCAACACTGATGAATTGAAGATGTGTGGATTTCAACTCCCAGAATTCCCCAGCCAGCCATGCTGGCTGGATAATTCTGGGAGTTAAAGTCCACACATCTTCAAATTCCCAGGGTTGAGAAACACTGCTTTAATGCTTCAACAAGAGGCCCTTTGTATACATGTAATCAAACACCTTTTTCAAATGTTTTGCACTACCAAATCTGAATGTATTTCCAGAGATGATCCTAAACAGCACTATTATTTCATGCAGGTCTACCATGAAGGTATGTCAGTCTAAACTCATATTATCTTCCACTTGAAATTGTATGCTGAGCATTAAGGAAAATATGTTCAGCAAAAAAGAAGCTATGTTGTATTTTCAAAGTTCAGTAAAAAGACATCTTTACTTCTTCATGGGTAAACCTCATTCTCCACAATTATTTGAATCTGCCTATTGAGATCTTTTTGCTTCAAGAAACATTTTGTAAGAGTGGGAAAAGTTAAAACTCACCATCAATACTATCACAAATAGAATAGCTGCTCTATTATTGTAGCTACCATTCATGAAAATGCTATTTATCCTCAAAGCTACACAATATCACCAAAAAAATGGCAATTGTAAGGCCCAAATTCATTTTAAATCTACCATAAAAAATGGAATGAAAGGAAATTGAAATGTCAGGGCAACTGGACCTTACAGATAAAACGAAATGAATTAATGCTGATAGTAGAGGATATGCAGGGAAAGAGAACAATTTCAATAAACTGGGGGGGGGGGGAGGTTTCACACAATGCAGCAAAATCTGTCTTTTGTGTATCTCTTAAATGTGGGGTAAATTATAGTCTGATTTTGTCCAGGCTTGGAAGCGAAGCAGAGTTAGGACTGGTCAATTCTTAAATGGGACACCAGCAGGGAATAGCAGATAGGCTAGATAGTGGAAGTTGAAAAGGCATTTTGAAAGAAAGCAGTGGCAATCCACTTGCATTTTTCTGCTCAGAAAACTATATATAGGTATGTGGAGCTGAACTCAATGTGTAAGAGACTTGACCTTAAGAAACTAAATAGAAAATGAAAAATGCATTGTTCTCTAATTCTACATTCGCTTTCCCCAATGTCATAGCAATATATGTATTTCCAACCAAAATGAGCATATCTAATAGATTTATGTCACCACAGTCAATGACAGAAGCATATATCAAAGTAATATTTATTCTTTCCCACAGAATAATTGGGACTCGCAAAGAATAAGAAAACAGTCTCTTTAGAGTTAAAAATAAGACCCTATAAAATAATTCAATGGAGTATTGGACCAACTTACACAAAACTTGATTTGAACTGGTCTTGGCATTTACAAATTTAGAGAAAGCTTGGGAGAAATTGGTTTTACTTAAGAATACTAGTCATACTGATTTAATTTTCATAAGGGATTTTTACTGCTGCTCAGTGAGTTCTAGGACAGAAGGTAGTCCTCTTCTGCCCATTTCTTAGGACTTGGAACACTTCCTGGATGTTTTTAAATCTTCATATTGAAAAAAAAGTATGATTGTTGAAACTATATTTTAATCCCAGTAATTACAGATTTCAGCAATTAGACATTCTGTTTCTGACTGGCTATCAAAATGCCTCAAGAGGCTTACAAAAAATGGTATGACCTCTAACTTAGAAGTCGGTCCAATGAACATATACAAATGTATACAGGTAGTCTTCAACTTATTATAATTGAGCTCGGAATTATGGTCATAATTGTTGATCATTAAGTGGGTCATCACATGATTGCACCCAATTTTAGAACCTTTTTTGTGGTGGAGATCATTAAGTGAACCCATTGTACGCGATGGGCGGTTTTCCCCAGAAACTGGAAATAAAGACTAGTTTCTGGCAAAAAAAGTTGTAAATCCTGGTCACGTGACAGAAGACGAAGCAAACAGTCTAAATGTGGGCCATCTGTCAATCACCAAAATGCGATCAAATGAAGTCAGGCAGAGCAGTCACTAGAACTTTGAAATTGGGTCATATGTAGCTCTGGGGAGGTCTGTTGTAACTTCAAATGGTTGCTAAGTAAGTCAAAGACAACCTTTATAGAACATCTGGTTGTAAAGATAATATTTTAGTTCTGGAATCTAGTTGCTGGAAATCAGAACAAAATATTATTGTTTCCTGTACAGTATTGCTTTAAGTATTAAGTATCTAATTAAGACTATAGTAAAACCTTTTTGAGCATCTCAGATATACTAGAAACTTGCAAGATACAATAAAACACTTTAATTACAGGCTTGGGGAAGACCAAGCTTATAAGAAATATCGCCAGCAGGAGAGGAGGCTTCTGATTGCTGCTAAGTATGACTGGAGTCTAAATCTCTTCTCTGCTGGAGGGAAGAATCTATTAAAAAGTCCCCAATGGGAATTCTACTTTTTTTTTTTTTGCCTTCTAGTTTCACAGCACAATTTTGACTCCAATATCACTGGATGTAAGGCTGCATGCCTTCCTTTTTCATGAACAATATTTGGATAAGGACCTTCTGCCTCCTTTTGTGTGACTGTAAGAAGCCGAGGCAAAGAAGATATACAGCTACATATTTAGAGGTCGGTTTTGACCCTTACACCCACTGTGATCTAATGCTTTTGGTACTTTTGCTGTCCTTATTAGTCTATCTCCCAAGCCAGCTACCAATTTACTTCCAATTCTGTGATGTTTATCTTATTCAGAGGTTGGGTGCACTTCTCTCTTCCTCGCCTTTCTTATTGAAAGAGTTCAGTGAAGCACAGAAACTATACTGGTCACAATAACCTTTGTTCCGAACACATACAGCAGTTGAGAAAAATAGCTCTGCTTCTCTGCAGCCTCAGTTTCTCCTCTAATATAATTTATTCAGTTATCTTAATCATAAGAATATAAAGAAATTTGTCAGTCTTTTATGTCCATCCAGGCGTTGTATGTTGTCAAGTAAATCACTGACAAGTTTCAATGTTGTCGTGACTTTTTTCTCTGAATGTTTACAAAAAGTGAATTCTGACAACGCCGTAGAGACACCAGTACACTAGTTTTAAGTCTGCGAACCGTTGACTGTGTAAAACTCTCTACTAATGAGAAAGCTCCATTTTGAGAGGAAAGAGTAATCATTTTGAGAGATGATTACTCTTTCAGGGACTGAAACATAAATGTTATTTTGTGTTTGTATGTTACACAATATTTAGTAAGATTTGCTGGAGATGCAATTAGGTGTTGGGACATTTTTATAGGGACTGGTCTTTTCCTATTATTGTAATATTGAGGACACATCAAGACTATTAATATGATTCTGAATCACCCATTCAGATAGGTTATTCTTAGTGATATCACAGCATTTGGAATCAGTTAAAACATCACAAGTCACAGGTTTGGAAGTGCTGGCTAAAATAAGAAATTACTGGAAGAAGAAATCTTTATTTTGCAGCAACAATTTGGTGTGACATTTTAATTTGTTCTATTTCAACAACAGGGCAACAGGCCCCTTTTCTCTTTCTTTTTTAGTTCTGATTTTTTTAAATCTTTTTGTTAGAGTTGTATGTTCTTACTTTCCTTCTGTTAATTTGCTTAGCATAAAAAACAATTAAAACTGGGGAAAAGAAGGCAGTTCAAATCTGGGAAGACTGATGGCTTCTGAGATTTACAAAAGTCTCTCAGACATTAGGGCAGATTTGTCAATCAATGAATCAAATTCTCCTTCCTCCTCTCCTCAGCTTGGTATTTTCCACAAATCACAGACATCGTAAGGTGTGAGGCACAGCTGCTGTGGTAACATCTGTTAGAATTCTGCAGAAGCAGACTAGGCAGGTCAGAACTTCATGGTGGTGATGAATGTGATGTTTTTATTTAGAAGAGAGTAGTTACATTCATTTGCTTTTCTGCAAATGAAGAAAAGTCTATTCTTAATTTCCCATTGCATTGACTCATATCTCTAGTAGACAGTAGATATAGCAGTATAATAGTACAGAATATATACTGCAGTACAGCAGTACAGAAATACATTCCTTGCGTATCTAATTACACCTGGCCAAATATAGTATAAGATAAGATAAGATAAGACAAGACAAGACAAGACAAGGGACGTATTTTGTCTTACGGTAAGGACTTAGTTTCACAAGACTTAGACCGTCCCACATTATTGTCCCTAACTCTTCCACCGGGAAAAGTTCACCTTCAGGAAAAGAATTCGACTCACGTAGAATGTCGATCGAGACAGAAGACTAGGTCCGTTTGGTTCACCATTTATAGTTATGTAATACTGTCTAACAATATTAAGAATATTCATATTAATAATTGTAAGCCAATAAACACAGATTTTAAAGTAACCAGCATTTTTATTTTCTTAGAAAAGGGAAATACTTTAAAAGGATTTCTTTATTTGACAGAGAAATATTAAAAAAATTGTTAAGATTATAAAATCTGCAGATGATTTTAAAAAGTTATAGAGGCATTTTTAAAAAGATTCTTTTCTGATTCTTCATAATATTTCAGAGCTTAATTACTCTGTTAGACTTGTTACATATTTTAACAGTTATCAATAATTAAAACACCACAACACATTTGAAGATAAACTATACGCTTATTACTGAAAAGTAAGGAATGAGTGAATCTAAAGACACTGTAAGACCATAATATATACATAATGTCTGTACATAGTGACACAATTGTGAATCAAATACAAAAGGTAAGATTGGTTTTGTATGTTCCAAAAGCATCATTTTTATCCCTATATATTTTTAGACTTTTACATTTGTAGATAAGATATTATTCCCTATAAGTTAATGCTGACCCAGGAACCTAAAATATATTCTGCACTAACATATAAGCAAAAACTAGCTGATAATTTATTGAATAAGGACCAATCAATGCATGAGAGACCAACTCTAATGTAAGCCTAGAGCATGATAAGTGGTTTTCCTAACACTTTAATGTAAAAGATTATACAGCTATAATACTAAACTACATTGCAGGCATTAGGGCAATTATTTTCATAAGGCTTACATATGCAAATGCAAAGATAAAGACACAAATGCAACCTCTTAATGATATTTTGATTGTTCTTAGAACCCTTTCAGAACCACAGTTCAAAAACAGCTCCTGGTTGCTTTGGAATGCATTCAGCTGAATAATTTTGTAACCATACTTGGAGATATCAGTAACTGTTGGAATGTGAGAATCATTGCAACTAAGGTTTCATATTGTTGATTTGGGTTGATGTATATATAATATTGCAAACATTTTAAACATATTTAAGACACAGAAATTTTACAACTTGATCTTTCAAGGTATCTCTTCTTTTTCATTGGACGATCCCAGAATCGACAGAGGCTTGTTTCCGAGTGGTCTTTGGAGGTGGCGGTGGTGGTGTTTTGCTTGGCAAAGGAGGTGGCAGTTGCTAGAAGAAAAATTGGATAAAAGATCTTACTAGAGAATTAACTGCATTGATTCAAATATAATTTCCTATAATGCTACTATTGTGATAGCAGGATAAAAATCTATGTCTATTTAATTCCACTGGGTCTTATGAACAGGACTTTACTAATGACTGTAATTAAATTGAGTATTCAGTAAGGATATCAACTGAAATCTATTACATACGTAAGCATAATTATTTTACATTGCGTATGTTAACTATTTTAGCATTAAACATTACTAAACTGAGATATATTTTGGAATAATATAATATACCTTTTTTATAATTGGATGCCAATTCTCATTTTAGAAAGACCATGCTATACTGTGTTTCCCTGAAAGTAAGGCCTACCCTGAAAATAAGCCCTAGCTTTATTTTTTGGGGTGGGCCTAATATAAGACCTACCCCAAAAATAAGCCCTTGTTTTGGGGCGAGGCACATGCCGAAAAATCAAGCTAGGGTGGGGGTGGGGGTAGAGCTTGCCATTGCAGCCAGGCCTCTCACGGATTGACACTTGCCTCGCTGGCCCACTTCTGCAGCCGAAGGAGCAGCTTCATTCTGCAACTGAGAATGCAGCTCCGGCCTGCATTTCGCAATCAGAGACCTTTCCTGAAGGCTTCCGCAGCTGAGAACTGAGCAATGAATTCAATCTGTAGCTCTGTTCTCAGCTGCAGAAGCCTTCCAGAAAGGCCTCTGGCTGCAAAATGCAGGCCGGAGGTCCATTCTCAGCTGCAGAATGAAGCTGCTCCTTTAGCCGCAGAAGAAGTGGGCCAGCTGGGTAGGGCTGTCAGTGCCGCCATGGCGAGGTGAGTGGAAAAGACATCACCCGAAAATAAGACCTGATGCCTCTTTTGGAGACAAAAAAATAAATAAATGAGACCGGATCTTATTTTCTGGAAACATGGTATGAAATATATTATATTTCTAACTTATGAACAATTTTTCATTTGCCAGCATATATTTATGAAAGCTTAATATTTGTAATGCCAATATACTGTGTTTTGGGTACTGTTTTGACTTCTAGGATTTTATTTAATCAAATTAATCAGGAGTAGAAGTGCAAATTATATGAGCAGCAAATTATGCACCAATAAAGATCAAGCTATGTGGCCCACAATAAAAATCTTTGTTATAAGGGTAACGTGCAGCTATTTCACATATGGGTATATGGTACTATTAAGCTGATTTTCCATAGCTTTACTAAGAATACAATCATTAAAACCTCCACGAAAAGAACATTAAGTCATTTTGCAATGCTCCATCCAGCAATTGTAACAGAATAACAGAGTCAGAAGGGACCTTCCAGGTCTTCTAGTCCAATTCCCGGGACAAGCAGAAGATCCTATATCATTCCAGACAAGTGGCTGTCCAATCTCTTCTTAAAAGCCCCCAGTGATGGAGCACCCACAACTTCTGAAGGCAAGCTGTTCCATTGGTTAATTGTTCTCATTATTAGGAAATTTAGTTAGTTCTAAGTTATTTCTCTCCTTGATTAGTTTCCATCCATTGTTTCTTGTCTTGCCTTCTCGTGATTTGAAAAATAGATTGACTCCCCCCTCTTATATTGGAATATCATCATTCAATACATTTTACTTTGTCAGGAATACTTTCCATTTCATTTTATATCTTAAGACTTGCTTTTCCACTTGTTTTCCCACATTGCCCTCCCCCAATTTTTCTTCAATCTTTTATTATTCTTCAAATAAATTCATTCCATTTCATACTGTTAGTAGACAAGTTATTACAATTTTAGCAATTCTATGACTCTTCAGTAATGAAAACAAACACATAAAATATCTGTCATTTTTTCCACTATTATCATAAGGAAAGTACAAAGTACAAGCTGAAAATATTACTTCAGTGTCTGCCAATTTATCTCTGAGAAAAGTGTGAAGATTTATACAAATGTGGAACTGAACATGATTTGTCCTCTTAAACTTTGATTCTGGCTTTTCAGTTGTCAATTTAACATATATCTTTAGAAAAAAAGAATTTGCACTGATGTCTTGACATCCATTCAGTGTATCAGGTACATAGTTTAAAGATAAAACTCTTAGATCAGGATATCCTTTTCTTTAGTGGTAGAATTCTTTGGGCATACAAGACCAATAAGTATTCAGACCATTTCCCAGGAAACCAATGGTCAAGTCTGATTTCTTGCAGAGTGCTTCTAGACAAATATTTCTAATATAAACACCTTGTTTCATTGTACAATAGAGCCAAATGAAGTTGCTTTCCATTTATAACCATCTTGTGTTTTTTTCTTTACACAAAAAATGCCAAATACTACTTAATAATAGTGCCACGAACTTCTATGTATCACTTTTAATGCAAATCACTGTCTTGCCTACAGATGAACTGTGAACATTGGGTTTCCCAATACTTAATGATATTTTTCAACACTTCTCTGTTCTAGCAGATAATGCAATCTGAAGCTCCAGGATTAATGCAAACAGCTTTTCTGCACCTCACCATCCACTTTCAAACAAAATTGCTGGAAAAAAGGCATCAAGATTTCTTGCCATTTTGAAATAGCAAAAGTATACAGTTATTAATGTTAGCGATTCCACAAATCTCTCTTCTACAAAAGGACCTGTGCAATCGTTACTATATTTAATGATCCATTATGGTCGATTTGTTTCATAAATAGCTATTCTCATTGTTTATATACTGTAGCTGGCTTGTTGAAGTGGAAGAACAGTCTGAAGAAAACTCTTGATGCATGGTCAAAATGTTACCAAAACCCACAGTCAGGTAAAAAAGTCAGGTAATAAAGCCATTTACATGATAACATATCTTTCAGCTTTTCATTTGGGGATCAGTTCTCTCTCAATATCAAGGTGGAACAAGTATTCTGTTTCATCTCTCAGTAAGAATCGTATCCTAGGGAACATAATTATTTTTCTGTAGAGAAACTAACTTTAGCCATGAAGTAGACCATTTGTTCTCTGCATTATTACTTACTGCAAAACCCTTTGTTATTTAGTTACTAACTATGCACCTTTAGAGTGGCTATGTAACATAGTCAATACAATGTCAGGAAATAACGGAGGACTGATTTACCATAATAATTTATATTATGAAGGGCATATGCATAGTAATATGCATTTTTGACTTGATGGATGAATGGGGGAATTAAGAATCAAAAAATGAGAGAAGGATACAAATTTAAAGGATAGGGTTTATGAAGAATTGAATACAGCTGCTGCATGTTATAAATCTTCATAGGTTGAACAATTTAGGCTAAGGGATGAGGAGATAGGTCAATAGCAAGCTGATAGTGGTGGATTTCACATTGAAGGGGAAGCATTTAAATTTTAAAAGCAACCATGGAAAGAGAAGGTGGAAATAAATTTCAGTTTAATAGAAAATATTGACAGAGGAAAAGAATAAGATTCTAATAAAGCCCTGTGATAACAAAGCCTTTTCAATGAAAAGTAGTGCTGCTTTCCCTCAGAGTTAAGGGAAGGTGGTGTGGCTTTGTAGAATATTTAAACAATAGAAAAATATTATATTAGTCATTATCATCAGCCATTCAGTCATGTCTGACCCTCAGCCACCTTATGGATCAGCACTATCCATGCTGCTCTGTCTTGTACCACCTCCTTCATATCTGCCATGGTCATCCTGGTGTTATCCTTTATAATGAGCTGCCAACAGATATTATGGTGGCCCCTTCTCCTTTTTCTGCTGATCACGCCAACATAATTGACTATTCAAGTGAGTCACCTCATAACAATATTAATAGTACTGGAAAGCATCACCAAGAAAATTGCACTGGACCCTCCTTCTGGAGCAGAACTAGTAATGGCTTTTGATTTCATGCATATCAACACTGTATAATTTGGATTGTCCCCATAATCAAAAAGCCAAGAAAGCAATCCTAAATTTAACTTCCACTCATGACTTGATAGATCCTAACTGAATAATCGGCTTTAGTGCTGTCTTGATCTTAAAGATAGATTGCAATGATGATTCCCAAAAAATTACAACCCTACCTATAATGAAAAGATGAGATCTGAAGAGTAATGTTAGCATTCTAAAATATTAATGATCTATTGAGATCTAATTCACTTTAACCCTATAAAAGGCTGTACACCTTTTAGAAGAGCAGTATGAGAGGGCAGTATTTTTCTTTTTGCAAATTTTTTTAGTGTGGGTGAGAAGGATAGTTGGTCATCTACTGAAGATGCTCAATCTCTGCATTTTTTATAATAACAGAAAGTTGGATTCCCTACTTTACACAAACCCTTTAGGATTTGGTAAGATCCCCCATATTAACTTCGGATCCCTAAATCCTAGTATGAGCCTTGGGGTAACTAAGGTAATAAGGAAATTGATCACTGAGGGTCTGATTCAAAATATTTGCTTGCCGGAACAAAGTTAATGTGTGTGTGTGTGTGTGTGTGTGTGGGAAGAAGAAGAAGAAAAGGACCAATAAAGGAGAATATTTATAGCTCAGGATTGAAATGAAGGATCCTTGTGCTTTTGGGGTTTGGTTGTTTTCTTGCAGACGTTTCATTACCCAAACTAGGTAATATCATCAGCGACAACAGCGTTGATAGTTTGGGTAATGAAACGTCTGCAAGACACAAGAAAACAACCAAGCTCAAAGAAGAAAAGGAATTAACAATATAAATTTCTGCATAATTTTAACAGAAATTTTAACAGATTAAGATACCTAAAACAGATATTAAAATATCTAAGTTTGCCCTAAGCTAGATTATGTCAGATATGTCATTAGAAAGAAATCTTGAATTTTAATACTATTAAATTAATTGAGTACATCAATATTCAGTAATAGATAGGGCTGCAAGTAATGCTTTGCTGGCAGAGTAAGTAGAAAATAACACATTTTGAGATCGATAGTCCTTGCAACCTCTTCCTATCTTCTTTTCACTTCTATAAACATGCAGAATGTTTATTTCTATTCCTCTAGTTTCTGTCTACCTCTTTACAATGAAAGAAGAAAAATGCCCATT